TAATTCCACATTTTTAAAGCTCATTTCAGCTTTTTACGCTTCCTTCTGGTATTTTAAGCTTCTGTCTGACTTTTCAGCTTTTTTTTTTTTTGCTAATTTCAGCTTGTTGTGCTCCTTTCAGTTCATTTCTGCAAGTGTCAGCTTTTTCAGCTACTATTTAGCTGTTTTAAGCAAATTTAAGCTTTTTCAGCTAATTCCACGTTTTGCACTCATTTCAACTTTTTCAGCCTAATTAAGCAAAAATGTGCTCCCTCCAATTCTTTGTGGTAATTTAAGCTCGTTTCAGCTTTAATCGCTTCTTTTCAACTATTTTTGCAAATTTCAGATAATTTCCACCGTTTTGGGCTCATTTCTGCTTCTTTCAGCCCAATTGGGCAAACGTGCTTTCTGCTTTCTTTTGCTCATTTAAGCTTGTTCTACCTTTTCAGATAAATTTTTTTAAAAGCATTTTTACCTAATTTCAGCCGTTTTCAAATAAGTTCAAGTTTTTTGTGGTCATTTCTGCAACTTTCAACCCAACTAACTTATTTGTGCTAATTTTAGCTTGTTATGTTCCTTTAAGCTTTTTTCTGCTAGTTTTAGCTTTTTCTGCTAGTTCAGCTACTATGTAGCAGTTCTTATTCTAGTTTTAGCTTTTTCAGCTAATTCCACATTTTTAAAGCTCATTTCAGCTTTTTACGCTTCCTTCTAGTATTTTAAGCTTCTTTCTGACTTTTCAGCCTTTTTTTGGGTGTGCTAATTTCAGCCTTTTGCAAGTTTACTAATTATTGTGCTCATTTCTGCTTATTTACACCTAATTCAGCAAATTATTTTTTTTTCCGCTTTTTTCTGCTAATTTTGACTTGTCCTTCCAGTTCAGCTAAATTTCAGCATGCTTTTAGCTAATTTCAGCTGTTTTTCTGAAAGTTCTTCAGCAATAAGCATTCACACTGCATTTTCACAGGAAATGCATTTCCTCCAGTCCCTGGTGCACCTACCAGTCGGAGAGAACCTGAGCGAGCTGACTTTGATCTCAGGCTTGAAGTGACGGGAACTCATGTCACCTTCAGGAACACACAGAGAGCAAAAGCTGCCGTCAACAATCAGGCTGACAGGAAAACGGTGCAGCGGGAACGACCGAACTCAGCGCACACCTGTCCTGACTCCCGGCAGGCTGATGTTGACCTCGTCTCCGTCTCCGGCGCCTTCGTCCACCAGAGCCAAACTCCCAAACTCCGTCATCTTTCTTCGGTCCAGGAACTCCTACAGAGGGAGTGAATCATCACACAGCCACAAGACGTCAAAGGCTGGGATGCTGACTAAAATGTAAATAAAAACAAAAAAAGGCGCAAATCCAATAAGCCCATATTTAATTCACAACAGAACCCGGTGAACACTTAAAGTGTTGAAACTGAATCCAGCAGTCACTGTGGGAGGAATGTTGTCCCATTCTGGTTTGACATAGGAGATTCTAGCTGATTTGTCTTTGCTGATTTTGTTTAATGACCAAAAGGTTTCCAGGTGGTGGAGGTCTGAACTGCAGGCAGCTGAAATGTAATTTCATCGTGCTTCCATGCAATGACAATAAAGCTGATTCTGATGATAGAGCTTTACGGACAGCGCGGTGAACCGTGTCCACAGACGAGGACTTGTGGAAGTGTTCCCGAGTCCGTGCAGACTGGGTTTTTTACGCACTTGACCCCGACGCCCCAAACGTCACGAGCATCTAATACTGACTCCATGTTCTTGAACTCTTCACAAGATCTGGAGACATATTGAAAGCTCTCACTATTTTCTTTTGAGGAACATTTTTATGAAGTTGTTCCACTTTTTCTAGACACTGCTCATCACAGACTCTAAAAAAAAAAACGTTAAGTCAGTTCCTCTGGACGTTCAAAAAACAACAAGAAAAAAATTGTAGAAACGTTTTTTGTTTTGTTTTGTTTGTTGAACATCCAGAGGACCTGACTTAACTTTTTTTTTTTTTTTACATTTTTCTACCTGGATTATGGAGCATGCATCAGGATATGTATCCTCTGCCCGTCTTTACTTCTGGCAGATTCAGCTTCTCTAAGATGCTCCTTTAATATTTAATCCTCTTGACTTAAAAAAAAAAAAAAAAAGTTGCAAAATTCTTATTTGTACCACGTATTTTTTAAAATCACAACTTTTTGGGATGTTTTGCTACCATAAAATGAAAACCTTTTTTTTTTTTTTTTTTTTTGTAAAAGTAGTAAAAATGTCCATCGTGACTAAAATATGGGCTTATCATCATTTGTATTTTATTTAGGGGCGCACCGATAAATTTATCGTCCCAGATTTCCTTAATTTTGGCAGATCGGCTGAAAAACTGATTTGACTGATATTTTGTAGTTTTAACAACATTGTCTAAACTTCGTTTATATTTCAGGGCACTACCTCAAGGCCAGTTAAAACCAGTTTGTACTGTTTCTAGGATATTGTTTATGTTTTTCAATATAATATTGGAAAACTGAAGGTGCACTGTGACCTTATAACACCTGACAGTGTCCGTTATAAAACTAAATCGGAACCGGCAGGTCAGACTCATTAGAAATCGGTGATCGCCGCAATCGGTGCGCCCCTAATTTTACGACATTACTCTTGCGTTGTTTTTCTTAATTTATTCTTTTATATAAAACCTTCCTTTAACTTCGTACCTCCATGGCATCAAACGAAAGGTTGCAGGAGATTTCAAACTTCTTCGTGAGCATCTGCTCCTTGACGTTATAGATGCAGACAAACTTGGACTGCCCTCCCGCCAAAACAGACTCCCCGTCCGCGGAGTAGCACAGCGACGTAAAAGATCTTAAGGGAACGAAAACTTTCAGTCCAACCCGTTCAGCTCAACACAGAGGCAGGCCGCCGAGTGTCCACTCACTTGCCCTTGGCCGACTGCTTGGCGGTGATTTTGTCCGTGTCTTTGCGGCCCGTCTCCAGGTCGTGGCGTCCGGCCACCGAGCCCGTTTGTGCGGCCGTGTGAGGGTTCCAGAAGGAGAGCTCTCCGTTAAGAGTGGCCACGGCTAACTCCTGACCGTCAGGGCGGTACGTCACACACAAACCTGAGGGGCAAGACAAAAAAAGGATTACATCGCCTAATGACGACATAAGAGGAAAAACTCGTTTAAAAAAAAAAAAAAAAAAAGACTGAACGATTCATTAGTGCTGAGTTGATGCATTTAGTATCAGTCTCGGCTGCTACAACAAATTGTATCGCATTGTATGTGAAATTCGCCACTTCAGTTCAATTCAGTGCATTTCTATAGCACCGACTCACAAGAGAAGTCGTCTCAGGGCACTGAACAGAAGCATTCATATTTAAAAACAATAACTGAACATTATTTATCTGAGGAGCAGACTGCTTTGAGTTTAACTCCATCGCAGAACTCTCATCTTGAGCAAGCACGAAGACGACGGTGGAAAGGAAAAACTCCCTCGTGAGGAAGAACCAGGCTCAGGACAAGCAGCTGTCCGCTTCGACCGGCTGTTTTTTTTATTTTTATTATTATTCTTTATTTTTAACAGCAGTGCAGAATTACTAAACAGAAATAGCTAAACATGTGCTGTATATTTTAAGAAGAAATAAAGAAATAAAAACTTGTGCATTACGAGATATGCAACTTCTTTGTTTGATCTATAAGAGAGGAAAAAAAAAAAAACACCACAGGATCATTAATTCAGTACCTCTACAAAATCTGGTCTTAAGGGCTTTACATATGTGACCCGTTTAAACCACATATTAATGAATATGCTTTTCTTCAGACGAATGGAAAAGGTAATTGCTTCTATTATATATACCTCATGTACAATATCTATCCAGAATGAGAGAGTGGGGGAATGGGGAAACAACCAGCGTCTTGTAAGAGCTTTTTTACAGGCAGATGTAAAAATGGCAAACGAATACTTATCAGCAGATCCGGACAGAAAATCACAATTTGACCGGCTGGTTTTGAGAGGAACAGATACACAATGGCAGGTCAAGAATCACATGTTAAGATAGAAATAATATCAAATGAAAACTATTCAACTGTAACAATTCATTTAAGGAAATTAGGTCAACTTGTCCTCAAGTAGTCTAAGCCTATAGCAGCATAACAAGCCAACCCTAACTATAGGAGTTATCAAAAAGGAAAGTCTTAATCCCAGTCTTAAATTAAAACTGGACAATGTGTCAGCCTCATGGACAGAAAGTGGAAGTTGGTTCCACCAGAGAGGAGCCTGATAACTGAAAGATCTTCCTCCCATTCTGCTTTTGGAAACTCTAGGAACCACAAGTAAGCCTGCAGTCTGAGAGCAAAGTGCTCTGTTAGGAAAATTTGGAACAATAAGATCTGTAATATAAGATGGAGCTAGGTCGTTGAGAGCTTTGTATGTTAGAAGTAAGATTTTGAATTCTGTTCTGAATTTGACAGGGAGCCAATGGAGAGAAGCTAAAACTGGAGAAATATGATCTCTCCCACTAACTCCAGTTAAGACTCTGGCAGCAGCATTTTGGATCAACTGAAGACGTTTTAAAGACGTATTTGGACACCCAGATAATAAACCATTGCAACAGTCCAGTCTAACATGACAAATGCATGAACCAGTTTTTCTGCATCATTTTTAGATCAGATGTTTCTAATGTTAGTGATATTACGCAGGTGGAAGAAGGCGGTTCTAGTAACGTTTTTAATGTGGGGGATAAAAGACATGATCAAAAATAACACCAAGATATTTAACATTAGAGCTGGAGGCCAGATTAATCCCATCTAAGGAGGGAGAAAGACTGAAAAATGTATTCCTAAAATTCTCAGGTCCAAAAACTAAAACCTCAGTCTTGTCTGTGTTCAAAAACAGAAAATTTAGGGTCATCCAGGTTTTTATGTCTTTAAGACATGCTTGTAGTCTAAGCAGCTGATTAGATTCATGGACAAATATAACTGTGTATCATCAGCATAACAATGAACATTTATCCCATGCTGTTTAATAACATTACCTAATGGAAGCATATACAAGGTAAAGAGTATTGGGCCAAGCACTTGCTATTCATGCTGTTGTTGTTTGGCGCATTGTTTTTGTACTATTTGTGCTTAGTGTATTCTCAGTGTAGTGCATTTCTTAGTTCATATCTTAGATCTTACGGTTTTTCTTTACGAGTTGTGCTTTTGTTGGATGTAACTGGGACTCTGTGTACACAATTTCGTTCCACGACAATTACCACATGTGGCGTGAATGACAATAAAGACACCTTGATCCTGACTTAAACCCTGAGGAACTCCATAACTAACTTTGGTGTATGATGAAGATTCATTATTTACATTTTCAAATTGGAATCTATCAGATAAATATGATTTAAACCAATTTAGCGTTGTTCCTGTAACTCCAGTAAGTCTCTGTAGTAGAATATTGTGATCAACTGCATCAAATGCAGCAAATGCAATTCTGGCCATTTTTGTGTTTTTAAAAAGGTGATTGATTAGATGTGGCAGCCATCTTGAAACAAGTCAAAACAAACTGAAAATAAACCAGAGAAATTGCATTTCAATGCAGTGGGAATGCTTATTCCAGAAGAACTTGCTGGAAAACAGCTGAAATTAGCTAAAAAGCATGCTGAAATGCAAGAACATGCTGAAATTAGCAGAAGAAATCAGAAAGAACAGATAATTGCTTAATTCGGTAAGCAGAAATGACCACAAAAATAGGAAATTAGCTAAAAAAAAAAAAAGAAGAAGCTGAAATTAGAAAAAAAAAAAAAAAACAGCTGAAAAGGCAGAAATAAGCTTAAACTACCAGATGGAAGTGGAAAGAGCTGAAATAAACTAGAAAAGTGGAATTAGATGAAAAAGCTAAATTTAGCATAAAAATAGCTAAATAGCAGCTAAAATAGTAGAAAAAGCTTAAACTAGAAGAAAAAACTGAAAGGAACAAGCTGAAATTAGCATAAAGAAGTTCATTAGGTTGAAAGTATCAGAAATTAACACAAAAACATGAATTTATCTGAAAGCAGCTGAAGTTAGCTAAACAATGCTAAAATGTTAGCTGAAAAGGTACAAACTTAAATTAGCATAAAAAGGCAGAAAGAACAAGTTTGAACAATTAGGGTGAAAAAAGCAGAAATGAACACAAAAACGTGAAAATTATCTGAAAAAAGCTTAAATGAGCAAAAAAACAGCTGAAAAGTAGCTAAAGAATAGAAAGAAGCTTAAATTACCGGAAGGAAGTGGAGAGAACACAATTTTGGTGAATTAGGCTGAAAAAAGTTGAAATGAGTGCTAAAATGTGGAATTAGCTGAAAAAGCTAAAATTAGCAACAACAAAAAACAGCTAAATAGTAGCTGAAATAGCAGAAAAAGCTGACACTTGCAGAAATAAGCTAAAAGGAGATTAACAAGCTGAAATTAGCAGAAAGCTGTTAGAAGAAGCACAAGAATGTTGTCGTTAGCTGAAAGAATCTGAAAGAAGCACAAAACAGCTACGGGAAAAAAGAAGCAGAAATTAGCTGAAAATAGCTGGGAAAAAAAAAACATTTGCACAAGGAAGCTGAAAGAAGCTGAAGCAGAACAAAATGTGAAAGGAGCAGTAAAAGGGTGTAAACACATCTAAAGATTTGAAGGATGTAAAATGAGCTCAATTCATTTTCTATTAGGAAAAAAGTGACATAAAAGGCTAAATATTTCAAAAAGCTAAAGTTGCACCAATACCTAAAGTCACAGCAGGATTGTCCTGAAAGAGCTGAACGTTTTGATATGATTTGTTGAAATAGCTTGAAAACTGCGAGACGAGAATGAAGTGTGAATGCTTCATAAGCATCCACACTATTAACTAAAGAAAATGTTCATTTACCATCAGACGTGAGGTGAAGTGTCTCTTTGGCATGCCAGCTGTCCAACATGTCCCACAGCTGGACGGTCCGGTCCCATGAAGCGCTGGCCAGAATGGACTTAACAGGACTGAAGCACAGGGAGCTGACCGGACCCTCGTGGCCTCCCAGGACCTAAGGAGCCGCACAGTTTGAGTAAGTCTGGAAACACTCCATCAGCCTGAGGCCTAAATGTTTGTACCTCTAGCAGTCTGCCGGTCTGCATGGACCACAGGAAGATCTCAAAGGAGTCCTGAGTTCCGGCGCTCACCAGCTCTCCACTGACATCTACAGCCAGGGAGGAGAACTGCGCGGGCCGAGGAGACGTGAACGTCCTGAAGTTCCGGTACCTACAAGCACAAAGGACACCCTGAGACCACTTCCTGCTCTGCCTCTGGGTCTGCGCCAGGTCTTTGATGCTCTGGAGAGAATCCAAAACATGAGTGGGACGATCACCTGTGCAGATCGAACGCTCTGACCGTCCCGTCCAGGGAGGCGCTGACGATGACGAAGCCGCTGGAGGTGAAGGCGACATTGGTGATGCTGCTGGTGTGCTCGGTGAACGTCACGAAGCAGAGGCTGCTGTTGGTGTTCCACACTTTGACCTGAACAGGCATTAAAAGTTATTTAAATGATTCACAATCATAAACACATATTTTATAGCGTTTTGGCAGCAAACAATACGTATTGCGATTTGACACAGGTTGAAAACCCGACGGTGAAACGGAGGACTCACCTTCCCATCATCCCCTCCTGTCACGATGTACTGCCCGTCCGGTGAATAAGCCAGGGCAGCCATGTTGTTGAAGTGTCCTTGCTGCTTGAAGACGTATGATTCACTCTGCCACTCCCACACCAGCAGCTGACCCATTCCTGGAACATAGAAATCTAGATCTGATCTAACCTTCAAATTTACTTCGGTCGCAATCATCAGTGACTCTGAAACTTCGAGTGGGCTACCGTAGCTTCCTCATCATTGAACTTGGAAGAATTTGTGACTTCTGCCGGTAAAACGAGTTACAAAGAGGAATTTTTCAGCACTGAGTTATCATTTTCAAATGTTTAATCGCAAAAGCTTAAAAATGACCCGTAGTTTGTTGAAACGTACCACCTGGGTTAGCAACATGATAGTTTTGTTTACAGAAGAGCCGATTTTAAAACAAATTTTATTGGTCTGAGTGATGCTATCAGGAATTCCAGCTGTATCTTTCGAAAAAGAGGAATCCCCAAGCTTGACAATGACCCTAAACAGTATGTGAAGGGATTTCCCAGAGCTACAGCAGCATACCATACCACTTTATTTATAAAGCACTTAAAACAGCAACAAGGTCGACCAAAGAGTTGTACAGCCGAAACAAAACAAGAAACGGACACAGGACATACATAGATCCAAATAGGTAAAGATAAGAACTAAATGGCTAACATTATAGAACAGACACGTTTAAATCAACTCTCAGTGTCAAAATCCAGGGAATAAAAGCAAGTTTTTAAACATGACTTAAAAACTGTGAGAGGGAGCCTGCCTGACATGTAGTAGTAACTCATTCCACAGTTTTAGACCTGCAACAGAGAAGGTCCTGTCACTTCTGAGCTTAAAACGAGTGCCTGGAACCACTAAAAGCATCTGGTCTGCTGAGCTCAGAGAGCGCTGTGGGGCATATGGCTGCAGCAGATCAGCGAGATGGGAGGGGGCAGAACTATTCAAAGATCTAAAAACATATCAACGGTTTTTAAAATGAATTTGAAAATGAACCGGGAGGCCAGAACTGGTGTAATGTGGTTGCTTTTGCCTGTACCCGTTAAAAATCGGGCTTCAGCATTTTGAACCAGTTGTAAACGAGCAATAGAGGTCTGACTGATTCCAAAACAAAGAGCATTGCATTAATCAAGCCTGGATGTTATGAAAGCATGTATTACTGTCTCAATGTTACTTTTGGACAGTATGGGCTTCAATTTAGACAGTCGCCTCAGCTGAAAAACAAAAAAGCAAACAGGATTTAACAATCATGTTTACATGACTGTTAAGTTTCATGGAAGGGTCCATTATCACTCCCAGATTAGTGACAATTTGTTTCTTTAACGGGGCTAAAGAGGAAAGGTCGATACAGTGGGTCTTAATTGTGCCATTAGGTGGAAACATGACTTTAGTCTTCTTTTCATTAAAATTTAAGAAATTTAAAGCCGTCCAGCCCAAGCAGTCAAGAAGAGGTTGGATAGAATGTGCACCAGTGTCCTTCACAGGGAAGTAGATTTGGCAGTCATCGGCGTAGAAATGAAAGGGTATGCCATGTTTACGAAAAATAGCACCTAGTGGCAGCAGGTATAAATAAAAGGGAAGAGGACCGAGAATGGACCCCTGCGGTACCCCCCACCGCAGATGTTGAAATAAAATCCTTGATGTTGACACAAAGAGTTCTATCAGAGAGGCAGGATCTAAACCATTTGAGGGGCTGACCCTGTGATGCCCACCCACTGCTCCAGCCTAGAAATGAGGATCTCATTGGTGATGCAGATGTAAGGTCCAATAGGACAAGAAGCACAGAGTCACTTGCATCCATGGCTAGGACAATATCATTTTAAAACATTTCATTTCAGCATGCAAAAAGAAATTGTCAAATTTTAAAGAAAACTATAAGAGTTAGAATTAAAAAGGGATTATTTCTGAAGACACATGCTAGATAACTCCGATTTAAAAATAGATTACCAAGATGATATGAGATGATATATTACTGGGATTGCTAGATGGAGTCTTTATTGACTCATTTTACATAAAGGTCAAATTTTGCAAGCACTGGTCAAATGTTTGTAGATAGTCATGGTTCTCATAACTGTCTATAGAAATGACTTTGAAGCAATAAATCTGTGTAAATTTCCACTGAGAAACAAGGTGCTAATCACATGACCTTTCAATGATAAGTTAGCTTCCATGCTAATTGATTAGCAGCCTATGATAGTTTTTAGTCTTATGTCAATTGTGCAGTTTTTTTAATAGGAATTCAAATATATTCATCAGTATTTATAGATATGTCATAATAAGTTTAAGTTTGCGCTTGTCTGTATTTCAGTTTCACGAGATTAAAAAAAAGTAACTTTATCAGCCTGGGGTTTATTCACAAACCCAATTATCACAGGAGATGAGATTAAACAGTTGTTTAATAATCGCACCACAGCCCTTTGAAGCATCATTTACCTGAACAGTGACGTGCCTAAAAAGATTCCCGCTCCCCAAAAAAACAGGAAGACTTACGCGAGCATCCGAATGCAATCCAGTCTCCAGAGCCGTTGAAGGCCACCGAGGAGATCCTCTGGTCTGAAATACTGCAGGGGAAAAAAATAATCAATTACATCGTAACAGCAGAGTATTGTGCCGTTTACTTAAATACGTGATCCGGTTTCCGACCTCAGAGAGTGAATCAGGTTAAACTCTGGCAGTTCGTGGAGGTGGAAGATCCCGGAGGCGAACGCCGTGACCAGGATGTGAGTCTGTTTATGAAAGGCAGCAGCAGTCAGGTTGTTAAAGTCGCCCTCCTTGTTGAAGAAATGTCTAAAAAAACAAAAAACAAATGGGAAATATATGCTTTTTATTGTTCATTAATACAATCCATCCAGCGGTTCATGAGATGCACAAAAACAAAGACAATTGAGTGAGTTTTACAGATGCTGAGCTAAAATTGATGCAAGGTTCAAAGTATTGTCATTCGCTTCACATGTGGTACATGAGGTGGAACAAAATTGTCCCAGTTGCACCCAAAAACAGCAAAAATATAAAGTATAAAAAGAAACAGTACATAAGGATCTAGGATATACACTACTACATATGTTAAACAAATGCTAATCGATACGCTAAAAGATCTAAGATATACGCTAAACACCAATAATGTAAAATAATACTGTATATTAAACAGCAGTCCGCAGACAGAGGGAGACAGATGATTGAGAAGGAATCAATGCTGCTTGATGTATCTGCAATTGGCTTGAGAACAACCGTAGCTTGAGAAACTTGGAAATCGGTAAGAAAAATCAACCTTAATCCAACTCTGACAAATATTTAGTTCCAAAAAGTAATTTCTTGTTTATTAGCCTCTAGAGAGCGTCAGTTGTGAGCAGTGAAGTTCGGAAATCGCTGTTATTGCCGTGAAGCATCAGTGAGTAACATGTGCGCAGAATATGCACTGAAAAGCAGTTAGTGCTCTTTTAGCATTGTAGCACAGAAAATGCACTGAAAAGCAGCTAGTGCTCAGTTAGCATTT